CTTCCGAAGGGGAAACTTCCGGCGTCTGGGCCCAGCAAGAGAACCAACGGCGTCAAGACTTGAAAGCTCTTCGGACATATCTTCGATCTCGTTGTTTTGTCCGTCGTCGCCGTCGGGTCTCTGTTCTTTCTTCTAATTTTTCCTTTTAGGGTTTTTTTTTTTCCAACCACCATGATTCTTTGATTTTTTTTTCCTCCTCTGATGTATTGATTAATAGTTTGTGTAAATATCGCATTTACACGGTTTTGCAGTTAGGGTTCTCTCGAATTGAGAGAATTGAATGTTAGATTTTCACATTTTGTAGTCATTAATTTGCAGGAAATCATCGTATTAACTATTAAAATCAAGTGTACGGTTTTGCTAAATTGGCGTGTGACATCAAATAAAAACATTTCCATATAAATATCAGCATAGCATGGAATTTCCAAATTTTTTTTAAAAAAAAGGTAAAATGGTAAAATCTACGAGAAAAATGGAGATTAGGTGAGAAGGATTCACGTGAAAAGCGCGTCGTGTGCTGTTGACTTTTACGTCCTTCAATTCTCCAACCGACGAAGTTTCTTGGGGACATTTCGGATAAATTAGTTGGACATATATATATATATATATATATTGTAAAATAAAAAATATAAAAATAATTGAAAAATATTCAATAGGGATTTTTGAAAATAAGAAAAAAGTATCGAACCAAAACCTAAATCCAACTTTAAAAAAAAAAAAAAAAGAGAACGATATCAATTAAAGAAAAAACGAACACAAAAATAATAAAACCTAAATAGAAAGAACAAAAAAGTCCTTAGCAAAACCAAATATATCCTTCAAATTCTTGCTGGTGTATAAATATGAACTATTTTGAGGAATCCATTCCATATGATGAGAAATAACACAATCATGCGCCAAAGACAAACTCCTTGAGCAAAAAATGCTCACATTCCGCCAAGAACCGAAAGCAACGTCAAGCTTGTTCAGACAAAACAGGGATTACAAAGACCGAGAGCTCCAATCCAACACTGCTCTTCCTCTGTTTATTCAGTGTTTCATTACAGAAACTTACAGACCGACCTCGACCTCAAACACATGGGCATATGGTTCTTCGATTGCGTTCACGGGCATTCCTTCTCATAAACTTCGCTCGCATACTTCCAGTTGATGACTTTCCATATGTTCTTCATATAGTCCGGCCTCACGTTCTTGTACTGCAACAGATTCATCGACACAGTATTACACAGGCCGATTTCAGAACTTCTCCATGCATATTGAAACACTGGTCATGTTTTGACACAGCCTCGTTCTTGTTTTACTACGCGAGCTTCTGAAAATATGTCTGGTTGGCTTTGGCTTTCTTTGTTACTCAATCATTATGTTTGGCTGTAACTATTCATGTGTGTTTGCAGATGCTAAATTACCACACGCAATTAAGAACTGAAGTAGTGGAACTGTTACCTGCAGGTAATAAGCATGCTCCCAGACATCTATTCCAACCAGAGGAACTAAGCTTGCTCCTTTTGTCACAAGCGGATCCTGCAGCATCAAATTGATGATATTACACAAGCACCCGATATAGTGCTTTGGTTTCACACGAGATCCATTTCAAATAAATGAATCACGTGTATATGAATCCCATAGCATAGGATTTGAGGATGATAATGGCTAAGGCCATGCAAAAAGTTGGCACGAAGATCATGGTTAAACATGGTGGCTATGCACATCAACTCTTAAATCTTTCAAACAAATTTCTATTGCATGGGCGTCATTGTGGAATGTGGATATGTACCTGATTGGGAGTTGTATCCACCACAAGCTTCTTCATCTCTTTATCAACACCGAGCCACTGAAACAATCATGATGAACAAGCAAGTCATCAACCAGAAAATGAACAACGTAATAAGTGAATAACAATACAAATGCCAATTATGCAATCAAAGATTCAACCCAATGGTATGATATAAGCAGCACTCTGGAAGAACTAAGGTGAACTACTCACCACCCATCCCGACCCTTGCAAAGCAGCACCTTCCGCATTCATCTTATGGATCAAAGCTTCGAGGGAGCCAAAGTGTGTGTCAATGGCCCAGCCAAGAGACCCTTTTGGTGGCTCACCACCCCCTTCCTGGCGTAAGTAAAACCAACAATTTGAGCATAAGAAAACCAGGAAAAAAAGGCAATCACCAAACAAAACTTGCCTTGATGGGAGCAAGATTCTTCCAGAAAATCGAGTGGTTGACATGACCTGCCCACAGAAGCAGGAAACTTTAGAGAGATAGACCCCCAAGAATTTCATGGTTTGCCAAAACACTTCATCAAACTATTCAGATTTCTTGAGAATACGCTAGAAAGTCAAGAAGAGAAAGAGACATAGCTAAGAAAGTTTTGATCGAATTTAGCTGAACTTCTATCTACCAATCAGTTCACACGGAACCAAACTCATAAATAGCTAGATCAAGGCGAGTAAATTTATCCTACGTTTCTCTTCTCATTCATGTAGGCCCCAAGCTTGCGTTGAAGTTCTAAATTTTTGGTTACAGTGAGAGAAATTTCATCAGCAATTCAATCTATATTCGGTGCAATCGATGATAAGCTTCTCTCCTCAAAACTAATTCTCTCCACCAAATTTCAATTTGAACCAGATAACCCATATATAAAAACCTCTATCACAAGCCCAAAGCTCATAATCTCTGCCCTAAATTCCGTTCAACGATGACAGCATCCAAACTACGATCGAACACAAAATACACCAGATTCTAGATTCCATCAAAAAACAATCGAGATCAAACACACAAATCGAAGTAGAACCATAGTGCGACACAACAAACAGGACAAAAGAGTCCAGACCTCCGCCGTTGAACTTGATAGCGCTCTGAAGCTTGACAACCGTGGAAGCGTCGCCCTTGGTCATGGCCTGATCGAGCTGCTCAAGAGCCTTGTTGTAGTTGGTGATGTAGGTCTGATGGTGCTTCTGGTGATGAAGCTGCATGATCTCGCCGCTAATCGCCGGCTCCAGAGCGCCATAGTCGTACGGAAGATCGGGAAGTGTAAAGGTCTGAAGACCACGAAGCCCCAATAGCTTCGAAGACGTCGCCGTCCTCAGGCCGAGAGCCAGGGCTTTCTTGCTTGCCAACGAACCAATCGCCATTGCCGGAGAGAGAGAAAAGAGAGAATGGATATTGGAGATTCCTCGACGGTCTGGTAGAACGGCGTACAAATGCCTGTGATTGCGGGGATGGGTTTGATAGGGTTACAAGCGGGGAAGAGAATCGGGAAATGGTTTGACACGTGGCAAGTGGTTATTTGTCCTTGACGGTGGTTTCGTCCAAGTCTTTGTATATTTTATTTCAAGCCCATGTAATAGCCCATGGTTTGATTGTTTTTTTTACCAACTAAAACTTAAGCTATTTGGAGATTTACTATATATATTCACAGTAGATTAAATTATTTTTGTGCGAAAATTAGCGATAAACAATTTTCTTTTCTTTTGATATGTATAACATTTTTAGTGTATTAATTTTTAATTAGAGAAGTTAAAAATTATATTTTTTGAAGTATTTTAAAGAAAAGTCGTATATGAATGATTCAAAAACTGATCGAATATATAAACTAAAAAACACATCAATACATATTTTTATACATACATACATGCATACATACACATATACACATATATTTATAAAAATATATATAATAAAAAAGTATTGGTGCTGTGTTTATTTGCTCTCTTATACAACTTTTTTAAACTTGACTACCTTTTGTGTGTGGAATATACGAATAACCCAAATCAAATACACATGCAGAAAATATAACATTTAGATTTCAGAAAACCAGTTTCTTTTTTTTCAGTCAAAAAATGAGAATTACTTTAATATCTAAATAACAATGATAAATAGTGCTTACAGTGTACTATTAAGATCCAATTATATGCCCCATTATCCTAAACCCTGTCCGAGTGTCCGGGCCGGGTAAACCCGAAGAAGATCATCATGGAAGACGTTTCTTTTTCCACATGCCCTTGAACTTCCAAATCATGATGACCATACCGTGGATCAAGGTGAAATACTTTTCTATTAATAAAGCTTGACCGGAGAATTCTTAATGTTGAATTTCGACGCATGTTCTGGTAAAATTCGCAGCCTTTTCTAAATGATGCCCACATGCCCAATCGCTATCAATCTCAGTTTCGTTTGATTTTTATCCTTCGTCCGAAACCCAGCGAACGGAGCCCATCACTGTAATCAGAGACAGATAAAGCGAATTCGTCAATTCCAGGGTTTTTCGAGATCGAGGATGACCCCTAGATTCTGAATATTCTCGGAATCGGGTCCAGGAATTTCTGATGGACAGTTCGAGTGATGGCGAAGGGGATTTCGATGGAAGAAACGAAGGGGGTTCGCCTTCGGATTACAGATTGCTGGGTCGGCAAGTTACGGTTCATCAGTTCATGGGCGGTGGCAAAGGTGAGGTTTTTAATTGCCGTTTGTGTGGTTCTCGAATACACGATTGTATGTACAATGAGGGCTTAGGGTTTTGGTTTTGGTGGGTCAAACAAATGGCAGTAGTTTATTGGCTTGCGAGTTGATAGATGTGCTGCAACTTCAGATTTTAAGGAATAATATGATGGGTTTGTAAGAAAGTTGGAAATTTCGAGGGTGAAGACTGAAGAGACACTATGATAGCTAAGATCATGTGCTTTAATATGAGCATTAGATTATTGTTTGCTGATGGAAGAAAAGTGAGCTGGTAGTTATTTTCAGTGTGGATTTCTTGAAATGCAAGACAAGAATCCGAGAACTGTGGTCTGAAAACTGTTCGCCAAGGATTGAAATCCGAATACCTCCTTTGATGTTTGGCTCTTAAAGCTTGTCCCTGCAGATTCTCGGGTTTGAATGAACTAGACGAGTGTATGTAAAGTTGTTTTCTTTCATGACTTCGAAAAAGAGTATGTAACCCTTGAGAGCAAATTGATAGACTTAATGTGATGCAGTTCGTTCTTTCAACCGATCTAATGATATAGTTTCGTTTGCAAGTGATTTGATGTATGGTCTTGTGTCTCAAATCGCAGCTGCTGACTTGCTCTTATGGAGGAAAGGCCATCTTTCTCTCGGCGTCATCGTTCTATCAACAGTAGCATGGCTTATATTTGAGCTTTCGGGATTGCCCGTCTTATCCGTTTGTTCAGATGTCCTTCTGATCTTGGTCATCGTATCATTTATTCATTCCCGAATTGCCGCTTTTAGGAATAAGTAAAAACTGCCCTCTCACGGCCGTGCGATTTCGTGTCGTAGAATGACTGAAAAATGTTTTATTTCTCCTCCTTTGGCTAATTTATCTGACCATTCTACTTGTTTCGGTTTTAGCAGACAGCCAAAGTCATTACCAGAGCTTGTTCTATCGGAGGAGATGGTTAACAGTGCTGCTGCATCATTTCGTGTTAAGCTCAATAACTCGCTCCTCATGGCTCACAACATTACAGTCGGCAACGATTTCAAACTCTTCTTCAAGGTCGGTAACCGTCATCAATAAGCTTTTCTGTTTCTGTTTTTTCAATGGAATATCACGAGAATTCTTGACTCTTAGTGTGGCAAGCATATTGCTAACCATGCATCGTATATATGCACGCAGCTGTGAATCGAATTACGCAGCTTCTTCTGTATATAGTATATTTATACATCTTTCTCCGTCGGTTTTCACGTGGCAGGTGGTGATTTTGCTGTGGCTTCTTTCCGTCGTCGGTAGCTATATTTCGTTCTTCACGCTGGCTTATATCGGTATCTTTTCTGATCGTAACCTTACCCGTTATGGTAACTAGTATTGAATATGGTTTCAAACATGATGATGACGATGATGACAGTCGAATTGTCTGAACCTTTTTTTGGTCCTAAAGCTGATGATATTGCAGGGACGATTGTATCCGTGACCGTACCGGTGATGTACAGCAGGTACCAGAAGGAGGTGGATAAATGCTGCGGGATGATCCACCGGAAATTCTCTCGGCACTACAAAGTAGTGGACGAAAATGTCATAAGCAGGCTCCAATGGACATTGTCCAACGACAAAGAGTTTTAATCCATGGATGCCCTGCCCTGTCTTTCTCCGACCAAAGCCTGTTTCGTAAGCCGTACGTAGTATCGTTAATTAGATGTAAGATGTTTTCGATATCTAATCATGTTTCGGTTTCTTGTTTATATAAGTGTGGATATCCAAAAAAGGGTCGGGCTAGAGCCTTTGCCAGTAACGGTATTATCGGCTCTTGTTTAATAAAATTTTAGATGATTACGAGCTTCGGTCTCCTTTTTTTTTTTTTAACCGAATGTCCTAAACAAATATGTATACTAATCTTGGTATTGGAATCATTTGTATGATTTGGACATCTTTTTTGCAAATTTGAGATTCGAATTATAAATAAAATAGGTATTTTACGTTTTGATTTTATGGGTTGAATTATTTAATTTTTTTATTTTTATTTTTTTAAGTCCAGAGTGTAGAACAAAAAATTGACAAATGTTTATTCTAACTCAACCCGTGAGACAAGACATCGGTTTATCATCGAACCATTCTAATAATTATATATTTATATAAAATTTCGTAATTCATTTGTGATTAAGGCAAAACAAATGAGAATTTTTTTTAGTGGTTGAAAACACAGATTCTACGGTGGCGGTATCGGGCCGTTTAGCCGACGTGGCAAGCATGCGGCACGCACGGAATCCAGGTCGTGAAGGGGACGAAAGTCGCGTGTTCTCCTGAGGCCACCACGCGCTAGAACCATCTCGCCACGTGTCATCTGAATGTCCTCGTGTCGGCCGTCCGATCCACACTCTACCAGGCGAAATATTATGATCCTACGGTTATAATCGAATGCCACGCGCACCCGCGCGTGAGTCTTGGTAAAGACCGCCGTCTTGCCGTACGGTCTCTCATCATTGACAAAACACAATTGTTATCATGAGTAATAATCTCCTATGGCTACGAAATATGCAACGAATTTTTTCCACCAATCAAAATGGGAGAATGGAAAACAATTATTGAAGAAACTGATATATAAACTGAACAATATCCAATGAATGTAGCTAGAGTTTTCGTTAGTAAAATGAAATTCACCCTATTTCAATTTTATTATTTGTACATACTTCGGTAAAAAGCTAATATTTATTATTTGATTTTGCCAGCAAACAATTGATTGGTTATTTAAAATCATATCACTTTTAATAAATATATATTCATTTAGATAGAGACAGATAAATACGGCATGAACAAAAATCGAAGATCTTGTGCGTCGCAGGCGATTAAAACTTCTACAGTGTTTCAAAGATGACGTCAGCATCAAGAGGAGCGATATATATATTTGTATATGTATATCACCATCCAACCGCTCGACGTCTCAATCACCTCAACACTCGGCGTCCTTCTCGAAAATCTTTATTTATTTTTCTTTTGATAGCTATTCTCTGTCCTGTTTCTCCAATGGCGTTCGCGAAGTTCGGATGCCGGGGGAGTGATCTGGTTCACCGCGGCGTACTGGAGGTCCCAAACGGATCCGATCACCACAATGCGCGATCTCCATTGTCATTCCCGGTGAGAAACCGCAACGGCCATCGCAGATCCGTCGGGACGATCTCGGCGTCGATGGCGGAGGCAGTGCTGCACCGCGCGGAGATCGAGAAACTGAGGAGGAGCGGCGGCAGAGGAAGTCGGAGGGAGGCAGCGGTGGCGCGTGAGGAGATGGATCGGTGGATGAAGGAGTCGGTGGTGGAGATCGTGAAGAACCTGGTCCACGCGCCGCTGCTGGTCCAGGTGTACGGCGGCGGAGGGGCGGTGGTGGCGAAGGCGGAGGAGTGGGAGGCAGTGAAGGGGAGGTGGGTGAAGGGAGAGACGGAGCTGCCGGAGGGGATGATCTTTGTGGAGGAGCTCGACGGCGGAGAATCGCCGGAGGGATGCGGTTGCGGCGGAGAGGGGACGCGCGCGTGGGGGTTAGTGGTGCAGGGGAAAGGATCGGAGACAGGGCCCGTCTGTTACTTGTTGAAGACGACCAGGGTATCCGGGTCGGATCCGGGTATGGGGAGTATCCATTTTTGCTTGGTGAGGGTCTCGAGTTTTACGGAGACTACAGAGTCTCAGCTTAGGAATTGTTGGATCGTCGGAAAAGGACATGGACGATTTAGCTAATGATGATGATGATGATCATGTTGATTTACGCATTTTTTTTTTATTAGAGTTATATATGAATAATTTGTATATAAACGTCATCAAAGTGAATAACATTTTTTTTCAAAACATCTGTAAACATACCTAAAGTGAAGTAAAATTTTTGTTCGTTGATTCGTGTTTGGTCATCTATTAGAAAGATATAAGGAGAGAACCAGTATGAATGGTTTTTATATGAAGGAGGCAGACAGAGATTGGATATCTAATGTTTTTTATTATTTGAATCCGAATCCAAATTCCATATCGAATATTAAATTTAGGGAAAATCTATTAAAAACACAAATTTTATCAAATCTATCACAAAAAAATGCACTGATTATCAATGTAACATGTTATTCGTATCATCATAAAAAGTAAAAAATATTTATGTAAATATGTGTGCATGTTAAAAATATTGAATCTATAGACTATACTTCAATCACATGCTTAAATCCATTCCAGACAAGAAGGGAACTGTAAAGATTACATCAAACTGTTCCATGAACACAGAGACAGCAGTAGCAGTAATAGTGGATCGAAAGCTGACATCAGCTACTGTGGTAGATAAGCAACAACCAGTGCTCCAACAATGACGCCGCCATGGATTGAACGTCAGGATCTCTGTGTTCATTCAGAGATTGCATCCTTAACCCGGCATCCGTCGACATAAGAAGATCACGTGTCACCCCCTGCGGAACTACGAACAGTCCTTTCAACGCCACTACACATCTTCTCGACTCCTCTGCACTCAGAATGCTACGCTTTTTCACTGCCTCGTGCGCTTCCTTCAAGGTCTCGTATACTTTCATATACTCTGTCGTCGTCGTCTCCATCTTCTTCTGCTGCTGTGTATCATCACGAGCTTCAGGAATGGAGCGAGAATTTACCGACCCCCCATCGTTCTTCTCGGCCTCTGTTTTGTCTTTCTGAATCGATATCTTCTTCTGGGTATCGCCGCCCGATGTCGATGCCTTCTTCTTTTTACCGACGGAATCTTGGCCGTTCCTCGTCGATTCTGTTCTTATTCTGATCGGCGTCGTCTTCTTCTTATTCGGAGACCCTTCATCACGAAACGACGAGCAAGAAGGATACCATTGTTTCTGGTACAGAAGTTCCTATAAAAATGGGAAATGCCCTACCTTTGAGTGCGGTTTGAACTATTTGATTTACGTAATTGGAAGTAACCAATTAGGTTTACGACAAAACCTCTGTGTATACCAGACATGATGTTCCTCAGATGGGTGAGCACAGATCTCGCCTCGGAACGAATCTTAGGGTTGTCGTTCTTGGCAAGAAACAGAAGAGGGCAAAAGGCGTCGGAATCGGAGATACGACGAGAATCGAGGGGTAGAGATTTGATATGTCTAAGAGATCCGACGCAAGAGGTGGCTTCGCGAGAGACGGTGTAAGAGCCTTTGTCTCTGGCGGCATGGGCATCTCTGAGAGCGGAGCTGATGAGCTGTTCAAGTTCCGACATCCTCCTTGGCGGTCGTCTGATCTCAGTCTCACGTTTTCGAGGCAACTCACCGAGACTCGCCATCGTCAAAGCAAGCAGACGAGAGGCGACCAGAGGTTGAAGAAAGAGTGGGAAGAGGGAGGAATTTATAGAGAGGGAACAACAAATTCCAGATTTCAGAATGATTTGGATTTTCTGAATCCAGAGAAATGGAAACACTGAGGCTTCGTTTCCTTTTCTCTTCCTGTTTTGAATTTTTAGTTTCGCCAAGAAAAAAAGGAAGGCGGAGGCACGTGACCTTTACTCCCTCACGTGACCTTCTGGGGACTGGCGGTAACGGTTACGTTGTTACTTGGGTGCCAAGAAAACGCACACGAACAAATCCTATCGACAAAAAAAATATTAATCAAATTAGCAAAATTCAAATAACGATATGAATTCAAATAACGATATGAATTCAAATAACGATATGACTGTAATTATTGTAATTTATAATCATTAATGTAAAAACGGTGGTTTAGACATTTTTTAAGTTTTTCTAATCTTATATTTGGGTAATTCACACTCCATACAAAGATATGACTGTGATTATTGTAAATTATAATCAATAAATGTAAAAAGATAGTTTAGATTTTATTTATTCCTTTTTTATGAGCATGTGATTTAAAATTTGACGGCGAATTTACTTTTTTCCATCTTGATTGAAAAATCCACTCCCAATTAATTGGGAATTACAAATAAATAACAGCAAAATGAATTTAACCCATAATCGAAATATTTAACCCTAAACACCAAGAAATTTTTTAAAAAAATAAGTGCAAACATGGAAATTTAAGGATTTTCTAATCAATATCTGTCGTCCCAAATATTTAAATTTGAAGTTTGATCAGTTAACTTTAAAAAAAAACAAAGATATTTTACTGAGTTATTTGTTAATTTAAAATTTAAAGATAATTTCCCAATTAAAAAAGATTGAGATGAGTTTTGTAATTGTTAATTAATATATGTTAGGGCATCATAAAATCATGCGATCCGAATCTAAATCAGATCTAATGTTACTTTCAGTTTATAAAACCGAATCTGAACACGATTTGATAGGAAATCCAAAATTTCTACAACATTCTACGAGGATATACTAATGTCCGTAGTTTGCTGCGATCAACTCCGTCCCAGTGCCTTCCGGGTCTGATTCCGTATCGGTTCGGTATCTCTCGAGCCATTACAGAGCCAGACTCTTTCGTTTTCTCGGCAAGTAGAGACTTCACCGGATGGGCCATGGGGTCGTTCCCTGGCTCGGCCGAGTGGCTTGTTCTTCTCGATCTCAAGTTCTTGTAATATGGGCTTCTGGGCCATAAAAAAACCTCTGGGGCAAGAATTCGCTGACCCTCCGTTCTCCTTCATCGGCTTCTTGTTGTTTCAATCTGAATCTTTTGTTCTTCCGTGTTAGAACTGGACATCCTCTGTTTCTTGTCCTGTGCCGATTGCCTTTTCTTTCTTTATTTTTATAAAGTTCTGCAGTACAAAACAAACTGGGCCGAGTTTACCGATTCCAGGCGCAAGACTTCAGTACATAGAGTTGAAGATCTGTTTTTTTTTTTTTACGTTTTTCTCTTTATGATTTCTTGTATAACAGAAAAAGTTTATTTGTATAATAATCAAATATTACTTGATAAATTAGAACATAGTTTACCCTTCGTTTGTCAATCTAATATATCTGTAATCTTCTATTTAAAAAAAAACAGTTATAATATGATCGTTTATAAATCTGAACATCTAGAGGGTCAATACCCAAGAATTGAGTAAAGGTCTTCGTAGGGCAAATTGATTAACAGTATATTTAATGAGTGTTCATAACACAATTCAGTGTGCTATTTTCTGCAAGGAAAAGGAAATCGATGATATGATTTGGCCTCTTGTGCCCAAAGATGTGCGGCTCAGGATGTTTTTGGTCAAAAAAAAAGAATGTGTGAGGAGGAGGATTCTTTCGTAGTTGATATGATTAACGCATTTTAATTATTGTATTTAATTGACAATTATGCTTTGATCGACGCCACAAAGGCACTTTTATTATTCACAATAAATGTTAGATTTATTAAATAATTAGAGATAATGTATAGGATTGACTACTTTTGTTCTTTGCTTTTTTTTTCCCCTCCACTTTTAGATAAATATCGATTAATGTTAGATTTAATTACGTCCTCCCATCTTAACTCTCGAACAGATAATCAACTCTTAAGATTATGCCGAAGCGAAAGGAAACGGATGTACAACTACGACAGATGTTGGCTTACAAAGCACTTGATTTATTCACAATAACCGGTTTGGTTTGAACCGGTCTAGTGAGAACAGAGGTAAACATAGACAAGCATAATAGGCTGTTACCACGCAGTAAAATTTCATTTCAAAGTTGTCGAGGGAAAGAGTTTGTCTCTTCCTCTGGTAGTTCACATGTTTTTACTTGTATTCGCCTTGCAGCACCAACAAGTTTTCAATATCTATTTGTGATAGAAAATCAAAAAGACTAATTCAGTAATTGCAACTTACGAACGACTATAATTTGTAAGTATCACCTATTCTAATACTAAGTACGGTTTCTCCTCAAGTCGACGACTACGACGCTGACGTTGTCGGAACTCTGCCTAGCCAGGGCCAGCTTCGTCAGCAGCTTCGCCGCGTCGGAACAAGCGCTGTGCCCTTCCTCCGCCGCCGCGCGTAGGCACATGCGCGCCACCCCGCACGCCGTCTCGTTCGGTACCACATCCCATAGACCGTCGCTGGCTATGATCAAGCACTCGTCTTCATCTGTACGATCCGTCACCGTCACCTCCGGGTCCGGAATCACAAACGGTTTCAAGTAATTGTCCCCTGAAATCGAATCATGCATGTCAGATTCATGAGCTCGAAAAGATATCAGATCCATGTTTGGAATTGAAGATGCCACTGATGTAAAACGATGCTCACCGATTGCTCTTGACATGGCTAAAACACCAAGAACCCTAGGCCCATCCCAGTAGATGACTTTTCCCCCGGCTTGTTGGATCCGAAGCAATTCGTCGGGTCGATCCGGCTGTAATCACAGGCAAATGAAATTTTATACGCAAAATCGCGAAACGGAAGCTAGGCTTCGAAGGTGTGGCGATGGTTTCGCTGTGGCTTTACCTTGTGATCGGAGGAGAGAGGGATGGCAACGCCGTTACGGCAGAGGACGGAGCGGGAGTCGCCGCAGTTGGAGACGACGATCTTCTCCGGTGTGACGACGGCAACGGCGGCGGTGGATCCGACTGCGTCGCACTGAGGAGACTGAAGCTCGCATCTGCACGACATCGTGTTCCGATCCTCGCCGTTAGCTCTGTTGGAGTTGATCGCGCTGACTTCCATATCCATTCTCAGGAAGCTCTTCACCATCGTTCCCTTCCACTCCTCGACCGTGGAAACTTCGACCTCCTGCTTCACTATCTCATGCAACCGCTCTCGGCACTTCTCAGCCACATGAGAGCAGCCATGGCCGTCGAATACTCCGAAGAAATGAAGATTGTCAGTGTTTTTCCGGTAAAACGACGGATGAATCGATAACGCATCTTCCATGTCTCTTCTCCTCCCACAAGTCGATGCCGTGCCGAACTTAGGCTCGTCGGAAACAAAACCGTTCTCTACTTCAGCGAAACCAGAAATCGGAGTGAGATTTGAATTGTTTCTCGGATTAGGCTCCGAGGCCAATCGCTCCGAGCTCCAGGAACTCTTTCTCGTCTCTTTCAACTCCAGATCCAACCCCGACGACGGAGAAGAAGACGGCGAAGACGCCGGCGACGGAGTCTCGCATTTCTGCCTTTTCCGGCAGCTCTCCAGCGGCGGAGCAACCGCCGAGTCGGCGACTAACTTCACCGACGGAAGCAAATCCAACCTCCTCCGCCGAGAGCCTCGCGACGTCGGCTCCACCGGCGCCCCCGGTTCGGTCTCCCCGACGACAAAACAACAATTTCCAGCCATTAACAACAATCTCACCACCAAAATTCCACCAAAAAATCGATCAAACGATACAAATCAACAACTTTTTTTTCAACGAATTGAATCTCCGATCGGAAAAAATAGAAATAACAAAATGATAGAGGGAACGAGAGATGATTGAGCTTCGCAAGTTGGGATAAATTTAAAGGAGGGGGAGAAAAAGGGTGTGGTGTGTGTGGTTTCGCATGGAGGGTGACACGTAATCACGGGCAGGTACCCGTCACCATCTACGGGCAGCACCCGACACGTTACAGTTGGTGTGACGTCGATTTCCTTCGTACGAAGATGCACTAAATCTCTACCGTCCATCAACCTCCCCTCTCCTACACATCTCGACACGCGTCCTCTTTTGTAACGTGACCCAATCAGGTGTCGGCACGACTTAACGGTAACAACCGGCCTTTCTTGACACGCATGTGGTCCTCTTGGGTCCCTTCCCTTTGTTTAATCATATGTTTTAATTTCATTTGTGTTAAAAAAAAAAATTCATTCCATAATCATAATAATAGTTAAACATTTAGAAGCAAAGTCAGAAATAAGAAGTGTGAAAAGATTCTGCAAATAAACAACTATTAATATGATCATGTTGATTAGGGGTTTATGAGTTGATACAATATTGAACTAGCCATCTAAAAATATGACACGTGTCCTTGATTTTTATATGACAACAGACAATCTTTCTTCCTTCTGATATGATTATTTATTTATTATATAATCACTTAATTATGAAAAATGTAGAGTTCGCAGTCGACATACTCACGTACAATTTTCGGGTATTTTTCAAAAGAAAAGAAACGAACGCGTAGATTCTTAACATTTTTTTGTCGTATTAAAATTGAAATTAAATTACCAATTAATAATGCGAAGTGTGATAATTATTTTTTAGATTTTTTTCTCTGTCTTTGAATCGAAGAAGGCCTCGCGGAACGACGGGGCGTGAGATTTTGACACGTGGAGACATCTTGGAGACGAGTGTGAAGGCTCGTCCAGTTATTGATCATTTGTTTATTTATTACAATATTAAATGAATTATTAACACCTAAAATATTGAAATATCTTTTTTTGAAACGGCGCCACCAACAAAAAAGATCTTTCAGATGAAAAATCTAAGTTTTTTAAAGTATTATTTTTCGGTGAGTAGAGGTGTATACATATTTGTTTGTTTTTGAAACTTTTGATACAATATTGAAAATCAAAATAAAATTTAAGATCACTATCATATTTTTATGGAGTTTTTGGCTAAGTGTGACAAAACGATGATATGTTTAGAAATCTATGTCTTTTTTTTTCTATCCTTTGAAAACTATACCTTTTTTATAAATTTTTTACAAAACTACCATTACTTTATTGTATAATTTCAATATTGTCATTTAGCGTCCCGAAAAATGTGCAGTATAAAAAGCAGATTTTTTTGGAAACGGTGTAATCTGAAAGAACTGTTTTTCATTCTGAAGAGTCTGTTTTTATCCGGAAGAACTGTTTTTTATCCGGGAGAACTGTTTTCTGTACGAGAGAATCTTTTTTTTATCCGGGAGAAATGTTTTTCGTCCGGGAGAGTATGTTTTTTTGTCTAGAAGAACTGTTTTTCGTCCGAGAAAATCTGTTTTTTGTCCGAGAGAATTTTTTTTGTCTACGAGAACTGTTTTTGTTCGGCTGAGTTTGTTTTTGTTCGGGAGAATCTTTTTTTTTGTCCGGGAGAACTGTTTTTTCCACAAAAATCTGTTTTTCATTCGGAAAATTTTGTTTTTTTTTGTCCGGAAGAATTATTTTTTTTCCGAGAGAGTTGTTTTTCGTTCGGGAGTATACGTTTTTTGTCCGTATGAAAAATAGTTCTCACGTATAAAAAAAATTCTTTTTCATATAAAAAAACATTTAACAAAAATTATTCTCCCGAACGAAAATAAACTTTTTCGGATAAAAACAGTTTTTTCGGATACAAAAAGTCTTTCCCGAATGAAAAACAATTCTTTAGAACGAGAAACAATTCTTCTTGATAAAAAAAATTATTTTTTCGTATACAAAAACAGTTAAACCAAATAAAAACAGATTCTCACAGATGGAAAATAATTATTCCGAATGAAAAAACAGTTTTCCGAGATAACACAGTTTCTCAATAAAATATATTTTTTATGCTGTAATTTTTTTGAAATGTTTAATGGCAATCTTGAAATTATACAATAAAGTAAGAGTATTTTGTCAAAAAAAGTATAGATTTATAATGACGTGACATTTTTGGATACTGATGCAAATTTTCTCTATTTTTATCCATACGGGTTTTAGTAACCCACAAGATAAATAATCTCATATAAAAGTCGTTATTAAATGTTTATCTATTTGTGTTACACAAATGAATCGATTTTTTTTACTAGTAAATTACACAAGTCGAATTAAGATAGAGTGTTTTTTAATTATTTTATAAAAATAAATTGAACTATAAACCTAATTTAAAATATACCAACCCACCCGAATTCGAATTCTAGGGTGGAGAGAGAACACATAATTCAAATAACATAGTTGGCTTTCGATTCTGGAATTAATCTGGACCTAGGTCCAGAAAACCCGATTACCAAAAAAAGTATATATATATATATACCAACCCAACAATTTTACACCCTATGAATTTCCAAAACTATCCATCCACTCCCTCCCATTCAGGCATATTTCATACAGGTATAAATGAAATTGCATATTAAGAGATTTAATATTCTTCAGATGATTAAAAAATAATATTTGTCGTATTTTCTAAATTTGAAACATCATAGGAAAACAGAAAATGTTTCGTCTAGAGAATCCAACGAGGGGATTAATTTAAATCTAATGTAATACTAAAATGTAACCCAGTAAATAGTGGACGAGTGGTTGAAAGGGTGTTGCTCTTGGGACCCCGGTCACCAGTTCGAATCCAGCTGTTAGAGAGGAAGGGGATGTTTTCTCGGTTGGGAGGGTGTTGCTCTCTGAGCCCCTGTCACCGAGCCTCTAAAGACTGCTTCCGGGTTTGAAGGGATGTAGGTTGGGCCGAAGGTCTAGGTGAACCTCTCGGTTATAAAAAAAAAAAAAACTAAAATGTATCATACGTGAAAAGATAGTGACATCACATTAAATACGCACTGCTTATAAGAAAATTATAAATCCACGTCAGAGACTCCAATTCCGTGGATAAATTAACCATTGACTATAAAATCAAGAACAAAAATAATATAAATTCAGATTCCACGCCTCTTACGAGGAAGTTATCATCGTAGATATTACGTGATTATGTTAATAAACTATGGTAATCCGCAACCGTTAATTAAAACATAATCGACCAGACCAGGGGGGTAGAGCGTGTAATTCACGCTCCATCGGAGAATAGTGTGAAAGAGTGAAGGATCATTCCTGTGGGACCCAACGAACTGTCATCCTCAAAATTTCCAGCTGTTTATAGATAAGCCATGTGGGACCCATAGAGTGTGCCCCTTCGGAAATATCTTTATTTGTTTTTCATGTATTGTGCCTCACACTATCCGCCCGATCGACACGTGGCGTATCTAACGTAATACGCGTTGCCGTCCTCTTCCACGGAGTTCTGTACACGGCGTTCTAACACGTTTCCACCAGAGACACTCATACATGGAATGGAATATTTTCTGTTAAAGTTTGCGGATCAACCCGAAACTTTTTACTTATTACATTTTTACCCCATATATTTCTATGACTCAGCATTTTCCTCTATTTCTAAAAAGTTTTCATATTTATAAACCGCTGCGGTTATAATTCAACCTAACACATTTTAAGAAAAAAATATATTTTTTTTCTGTGAGTACTCCATTTTGTTTTATGTTGACTCGAGTTTCGAAATTTATAACGTAAATAAATTGTAATTCAAATAGACTAATAAGTGGATTTAGTATATAATATTTGGTGGGTTTTGTATACAAACCAAATGCTATCGGATCGGATACAAATGTTCTACTTTTAATCACTGAAAAAATAAATTAAAAAAACTAAGGGAATTACTCTTTTAAAACTATTCAAAACCTTCAAAGTGAGGGGAATATTAAAATGTCAAATATACAGAATAAATCTTCTTTTTTTTTTGTACAGAAATATATATGGAATGGGATGCTGACACGTGCTCTCATAACCCCGCTTGATCATATAAGGGCAGTTCTATAATGACCGTGATGGAGACGGAACGATAACCAATAAGATGTATCCACGTCAGAACGACGTAGACATAACCACGTGTCGAAAGTTCAAAGAGCGGGTCACTTGCACGAACCTAACACGTCGTGAACTCGACCGGTCTCATCCGACACGTCCACTTAACTTTTCGCCTGTTTTCCACGACTCCAAGAAACTACTTTATTTTCTTTTATAATTTCGAGTTAGGTTCGTTGATTAACTAAAAATTAAGAAACTTTTTTTTATCACGTGTTTTTTTTTTTGCAGAACGATCAACGATCTTTTTCGAAATGGCTTCACAAGTTACGTAATATATACTCATTGCGGTTTATAGAGAAACCAAAGACTACGAAGTTCAAAGATAGGAAAAGAAAGAACAAAACCAATGTATTATCAAAATGCCTAAAGAACAAAAGGGGTTTTCCCCCTTCAAGTTTTACTTTCACCGTTCACAGAAGCAGATATTACTTAAGAAGATGGTTAAAACCATTGACGGTGAATCCTCCGTCAACCGAAATTACCTGTCCGGTGATATAGGAAGCCGCGGGGAGGCAGAGGAAAGCGACGAGAGCCGCCACTTCCTCTGGCTCCCCGACGCGTTCAAGCGGCGTCCGAGAAACTATCTGATCCATCAGTTCTTTCTTCTCCAGAAACTGCATTTTAGTCACACGAATCTAACCAGTTAATATGTTCTTTCTTACTACTTCGGGATTTGTTAGGACGGGTACCCGAACCCATGGAATCTGTGGGTATCCGAAATTTGGAAATCCGAACTGTCGTGAGATCGAGCACGGTTTCTTCGTCGACGATAACCGACATTCGAATTTGAGTTCCGGATTCGTCCGACGATTACCCGAATCCGTGGATAATTCGAAAGAGCGGGAAGGGATGAAGCCGGATGCTCAGACCGAAAAATCCGAGGGGATGAAACCGAAATCAGATACAAAAAATAAACTCGGGTAACCCCACCCCCCATCCATCCCTAGAACTAGAGGAGAGAGCATTAACATATTACCGGTTCGATGCGTGGAGTCTTGATATACCATGGCGCAACGCAATTTGCCCTGATGTTGTCGCTTGCCCACTCGCAGGCTAGGTTTCTCGTCAGCTGATTCATGCCTCCTGATTGAATTTCCCCAAGTAATAAGTAGCATTCACCCTTTTCCTATTTGTGACCATCGGATCGGGATTTACCTTTCGTTGCACCGTAAATAGATCCAGTTCGAACGTCAACCACACCAGCGACTGAAGAGATGAACACAATGCTTCCGAACCCGGATGCTTTTAGAAGAGGGTGAGCGATTTGGGACAAATGGAAGGCTGATTCCAAGTTGGTAGATACGAGTTTTGTGAAATCCTCATCGGTGAATTCAACTGTCGATTTCCTGATATTGGTTCCTACATTGTTGATCTGGATGGCAACAAAGAAAATAAAAACCTTTCAGAAGTTTCTGCCAAATCAACATTTTGATTGAATCAGCCACTCTCGCGGTACTTTTGCAGAGATGGAAACTGCATACAAGAACAAGCATCAAGACAACTTTTAAGGAAAAACATAAGCCTTTCTGCCAGAAAATGCCACAAAAAAACTGATTCAAAGTACAAAATTCTGTCATTCTTGGCAAAGCCGCTAACTATGGGGAAGGAATCGCTTGAAGACTCATGATGAACTCGAACATGCATAAACCAAGATCAAGATTCAAGATGTGGGCACAAGCTGATTAATCCAGAGGGCACAATGATGGAGAGGAACTTACAAGTATGTTCAGCTTGCCGCTGAACTCTGAGGCCACTTCCTGAATGAGCTTATCCCTTTGGCCACTAACCGAAGCATCACAAACTGAACCGGAAACCTCAAAACCTCGGCTTTTCCACTCATCTAAGCATTGGCTTAGCTCTTCCTGGTTCCGGGAACACGTATGAACCCTTGCACCGAACCCTGCTAGTTCCTCCACCGTTGCACGCCTAAACAAACACATCCTTTGATCATGCATCCTCATAAGATGACTCGTAATTTGTTTCAGATGATGAATTGGTCCCAACTAATCCATCCAGTAACACGGAGGTAGATGCTCAGCATGCTTATGGAACGAACTCAGTCGACTCCACAATTAATTAGATGATCAAAATTGAATCAAAATGAGGAAACATTCCATCCTAATATAATGCGATCCCAACAATTAAAAAACACAAAACGTTCCCAAATTGATGGAACTTATGGCAGCTTCTGCTTTCCTTATCGAGAAAAACACGGTTCTATGGGTATCTTGCAAATCTGATATATTTATGATTTTCTAGAGCCATCGATAAGAATCTGATAGATATCGTTGTCGTAACCCAAGAAAGTTGACCTCGGCGACCATGACAAGAATGGAAGTCCGAAATTGAGAAGAGAAAAAACCGACCCGATTCCACGAGTTCCTCCGGTGACAAGGGCGGATTTTCCGGCGAGGGACCACCG